AACAACAGGATTTTACTCAGTTTTTGTTTGTTTCTAGATTAAATCACGTCTGACCCTCATCCCTGGAAGACAGCATGAATGTTTTCCGGACTCTTCTGGTTTATGAAACCGCAGCAAACTGCTGAACTTTTCTTTCTCTCTCCAGAACCAAACATTTCAAACTGTCATTAAACAACACGAGCTCTGAGGCTCAGACACCGTTTGTAGGTTTGTTTTAAAGTTTCATTTAAATTAACCAAACGGCTGCGGTGCACAGACTCTGCTCAACGTGCACAACTCACTTTCAGAGACTTTTATGAATCAGATTAAAAACAAAATATGAAACTGCAAAAACTTCACAAACTCTCAGTGAACGCGTCTTAAAGCAGTTTATATTTTTACAGGTTCAGATCAGCAAGAAGTCGCTTTATTCAGTAAAACTGTGGTTTTAAAACTCAGGTGAGAGTCAGAGACACACCAGGAGGTCCTGAGAAGATCTCCACAAATACTGAAAACCTGTTCATAACTGCTGTAAGATATTAACGAGTGGTTATGAAAGGATAAATACAAACTGTATAAACTGTTTGCTTGATGTCGATATGTGTTGACTTCAGTTGCAGATCGTTGCCGTCACGTCTCATGCTCTTATCAGAAAGTTTAAAATCTGCAGCATCAACACTTGAATTAAAGCAGTGAGTTCAAATCTGAGCATGTTGGATGGTTTCATGGAGCAGCAGCTCCTTCCACCATCACTGAGTTTTCATTTGATTCTTGATTTAATGAAATAAACTCACCAGGAGTCGCGGCAGCTCGTTTCACAGGAACGTCCGCTGAGTTCCTGCTCAGACTCTGAGGATAAAGTTCAGAGTCTGAGCAGGAAACGACCGTTTTTATGACGGACTGGAAATAAATCAACCACAGACTCATGAACAATCAGAGTCCAACTTCTGATGAAACATTTTATTCAAAGACACAACAGCTGACAGAATCATACATTTTAATGCTTTTGATTTGAATTATTGGTAAATGTGTAAAATTAAAATAAGCATCAATTGTTGCTAAAAGTTATTTCTGACACAATTTTTACAAAAACCTCGATGAGTTCAACAATAATTTGTTGGAGCAGAAACTGTGACAAGCAGAATAAATAAAATAAAAACTCTGTTAAATCACTTTTTTGTAATAAACTTTAATAATTATTGTACAACAACCGCTTAATGTGGTTTAGCTGGTCTGAGAAGCTCAGTCCTCACCTCCTTCTACAGGTGTGCAGTGGAGAGCATCCTGTGCTCCAGCATCAATGTGTGGCATGGAGGCTGCACAGCTGCAGAAAGAAAAGCTTTGCAGAGAGTGGTGAAGGCTGCACAGCAGATGTTGGAGTCAGTCTCCCCACCATCACAGACATCTACACCTCCAGATGCAGGAAGAGGGCCACCTGCATCATGAAGGACCACACTCACCCAGCACACACACTTTTTGCCCCGCTTCCCTCAGGAAGGAGGTTGAGGAGCATTAAGTGTAGAACCACTAGACTGAGGAACAGCTTCTACCCTGAGGCTGTTAGACTCATGAATCTCTAACCAGAATAATCACTGTGAAAAATCACATCATGCTGCTGCTGATCTGTTTCATGTTGCTGCTGATATGTTTCATTTAGCTGCTGATCTATTTCATGTTGCTGCTGATCTGTTTCATGTTGCTCCTGATCTGTTTCGTGTTGCTCCTGATCTGCTTCATGTTGCTCCTGATCTGTTTCAATGTTGCTGCTGATCTGTTTCATGTTGCTGCTGATCTGTTTCAAAGTTGCTGCTGATCAATTTCATGTTGTTGATCAGTTTCATGTTGCTACTGATCAGTTTCAATGTTGCTGATCAGTTTCATGTTGTTGCTGATCAGTTTCATGTTGCTGATCAGTTTCATGTTGCTGCTGATCAGTTTCATGTTGCTGCTGATCAGTTTCATGTTGCTGCTGATCAGTTTCATGTTGATGTGTTCATGCGTGCTCATCTGCTCACACAGACTCATGTTCGGCGTAATGTTTTATGTTATGAATGCTTAGTGTATATTTAGTTATATATTATAATATGTATATATAATATATATAATATATATATAATATATATATAATATATATTATATATATTATATATATATTTAGTATATTCAGTTGATGTTTTTCTTAGTTCATATCTTAGATGTTATTATTGTTTTTCTTTTATATTTTATTGTTGGATGTAACCGGGACCCTGTGAACTTAATCTCGTTCCAGCTGCGAATGACAAACAAAGAAACTCCGACTCTTAAATTATTTGAAACCATTTCCAGAAATGATTTTCCTGAAAGTTTAATCCGTTCTGCACTTCGAGTCCAAACTGCAGAACGGATTAACTTCACTTTTAGTTTCATGTATTTCTGTTTTAATTGTTTACAAACTCATGAAGTGTAATTATGTTGGTTCTTTACTGTTTATCTTATAGAAGTTTGAAATTTGATTTAAAAAGTACACATCAGTTAGAAATAAATTATTTATTGGTGTGTTGTCCTCACTGGAGCACGCAGACAAAACCTGATCTGTTTATTTATTTGTTTATTCATTATTTGTTTGTGTTTGTTTATTTAGTTATCTATTTATTCATTCATTTTTTTATTTAGCCATTTATTTATTTATTGGTTTATTTACGTATTTATGTATGTATTTGTTTATTTATTTAATGATTGGTTGATTTGCTTATTTATTTATTTGTTTATTTTAGAAGGTGTTTAGTTCAAAGCAGCAGAATAAATCTGACCTTTGACCTCCAGTTTGTAACTCAAACCTCAGACGGAAAATAAACTTTGTGTGTAAATTAATGTACCGTTATTAAAATGATTTAACGTCTGTTTGTTAATTTAATTCAGTTTGAAGACTCTGGATGAACTGCAGCACCAACAACAACAACAACAACAACAACAACAACAACAACAACAACAACAACAACAAAGTTAGTTTTATTGCTTTATGATGCAGAACTGAACCAGCTCCCAACATTAAATCTGATCAAAGTTTATAATTAAAACTAAAATGATTAAAGACTAAAATAAAGTCAAGGTTTATTATTTTTTAATCTAATCTATAAAATTAAGATTAGAGGATCAAAGTGCTCCACAAAGTATAAAATCAATATATGAGCAATTGGCAATAAATATGAAATAAATTTTAAAAAATTATCAAATACAGCAATAATTTAAATAAAGAAATAAAATGAAGACCCAAAAACATAATTTCTGGTTTTACCAGGACCAACAGGAAAGTTTACGAGAACGTGTCGTCACGTTTGTTCGCTGCAGCCTGGATCTGAATGAGGGTCCGGTCTGTGGTCCCACCTGGTTTCATGAGGCCCGGTTTAGTTGGTCCGGTTGGTTCTGCACAAAGCAGTTCAAGTATCTCAGGGTTTGTTCTCAGTGAGGGGGTGGGTGGAGCAGGAAATAAACGGATTGGTGCAGCTTCTGCAGTATTGTAGACATTGTGCCGGTCCGTTGTGGTGAAGAGGGAGTTGAGCTGCAAGGAGAAGCTCTCTGACTACGTTCCTACCCTCACCTCTGGTCCTGAACTCTGGGTAGATACTGAGATCCAGGATCCAGGAGGTCTAAAGGAGTTCTCTCTGCAGGGTAGCTTGACTCGGAGACGGGTTGAGGGTTCAATTCTCCAGGAGCGACTCTGAGTTTCATTTTTACCTCCTAGAGTTTCCTGCACGTCGTGTTCTGCCTCGTCAGAGTTTCATTCTTGTGAAAATAAAGTTGTTGTTTGTTTCCAGGGCTCTTCGTGCACGTCTGCGCTCTCATGTCGTTCTGGAACCACGACATGAGAGCGCAGACATCTCGCTCTGAAAATAATTAATTATTAGAAGTTTTGTTTTCTGTACGATCAAAGGAAACAAGAATAAACACAGTCACAGCACGAACACGTTATTCTAAGTGCTGCGAGCTTCAAGAAGGTTAAGAACGAGTGAAGTTCTGCACAGGGCCCGATCCAAGCCAGGTCCGGCCCTGCAGGGAGCTGCAGCAGAACTGGGGAAACCTGAACCTCAAACTGTCTCGAGTGGATCAGGTTTTGGTCCCAGCAGACCAGAACAAGTTGGAGAGTCCAAAAGTAAAATTAAAGTTTAAACGAACACCAAAGCTGCCGGGGCAGCAGAACTTCCAGAACCGAGGACCGGACCCGGCACGCTAAACGCTCCGCTCAGGAGTGAAGGAGGAGCGGCTGTGATGAGGGAAGTGGCTGCAGCTGCGCAGGTGAGCCAGAGAGCAGGTGGGCGTGGCAGGCTGGCAGGTGAGACACACTGAGGAACAGAACGAGACAATAAAAACAATAAACACAAACATCAAAACAAACTTGATCAAGTTCTCTCACTAAATTAAGACGTTGTTTTAACTAAAGTTACTAAAAGTTTTAAGAATCACTTCCTGCTGAATTGTTTCCTCTCGGCCTTCGACTCAGAGCAGAGCTGTCTTCAGATCCTGATGGAGGAAAACCTCCTGAGTCCTGGTCCTCTGAGGGTCTGCAGTCCTTGTTCAGCCCGGGGGCTGAGCGGACTCGTGTACCGAGCTGCTGGACCTTTCTGGGGTCTTTGGAGGGTCCCCCCCCCCCACCCCACCCAACTCGTAGAATATTTTAGAGATCAGGCTGAGAGAACTCTGAGCTTCTGGTTTCAGGTCCTTCTAAAAGGCTCAGGTCTTTGGGGTCCAGCTTCGTTTGATTTGACTCTTCTGGACTCTAAATCCAGTCTGACGTTGGTCCGGGTGAGAAAACTGATAAACAAACCCAGAACTTACAAATCCATCCTACAAACAGAACTGAACCTCTGTGAGAACAACACGGACCTCCTGGAACCAGGACCAGGATTTTGAAGCAAACATCCACATGCTGCTCCTCAACACAAACAGGTTTATGGTTCAGAACTGGCCCCGTCTGTAAATCTGGGCTCGTTAGCGTCTCCGGTTCTTCCATCCAGATGTTTCCATTTGAAGTTCTGAGCTCCTTAATGAGGGACGAGGAGGCGAACGAGGAGCAGCTGGAGCGGGACGCCACCAGGATCCTGGAACCTGTGGATTTATGGACCCATCTCCCGCAGACCATCCCGTCTGGAGCAGGAGGCCCTGCGTTCCTGCAGCGGCAGGAGAGGCGTCTCCACGTCTGCACCCAGGAGGGACGCATAAATACGCTGCGTTCACTGACAGCGCTGCGTTCACTGACAGCGCTGCGTTCACTGACACTCCGTCTGCAGCAGGAGGACCAGAAGAGGAGCTGAGAGACGCCAACATGGTCCCTCTGAGGCTGGTCGCCTTCGGCTGTGAGTCCCTTCAGAAAATATCCATCAGAGGTTCTGGTTGTTTGAGATCAAACTAGAACTTTGTTTGTATCGTGTGAATGTTTATGAAGCATCCACACTGTTGTTTTCCTGTTTATATTTATTATTCTGGTTCTTTAAACTGTTCCGTGTGTTTTTCCTGCATCTTTCTCGTCCCGTAGTTTTCATCTGTTTCAACAAGCCATCAATCAAAACGTTCGGCTCTTTCAGGACAATCCTGCTGTGACTTTTGGTTTTGGTGCAACTTCAGCTGTTTGAAACATTTAGCCTTTTCTGACGTTTTTTTTTTTCCTCATAGGAAATTAATTGAGTTCATTTTCCATCCTTCAAATCTTTAGCTCTGTTTACAACCTTTTACTGCTCCTGTCACATTTTGTTCTGCTTCAGCTTCTTTCAGCTTCTTTCAGCCTCTTTCAGCTTCTTTCAGCTTCTTTCAGCTTCTTTCAGCTTCCTGCTGCGAAAAATATAAAATAAAATAAAAAATCAGCTACTTTCAGCTAATTTTAGCTGTTTTGCGCACCTTTCAGGTCCTTTCTGCTAATTTCAGCTTGTTGTGCTCCTTTCAGATTAATTCTGCAAGTTTCAACTTTTTCTGCTATTTCAGCTACTTTTTAGCTGTTTTATGCTAATTTGAGCTTTTTCAAATAATTCCACATTGTTGCGCTCAGTTCAGCCTTTTTCAGCCTAATTCAGTTAAACTGCTCTCTCCACCTCTTTCTGATAATATAAGCCTCTTTCTGCGTTTTCAGCTACGTTTCAGCATGTTTTAGCTAATGCAGCTGATTTTCAGCAAGTTCTTCTGCAATACCTGCATTTTCTCTCATTTTTATTTATTGTACTTTTTTTTGGGGGGGGGGGGGTTAATTTATACAGTTTTTAACTCTTATTGCAAAACGTTTGAGACGTTTGCTGCAGCTCCTGGTTTTATAAATATTTCGTGATTTAAGGATAAACGTGGCTAAAATCTGAGTTCAGATTCTCCCACCGGTTCCAAAAGGTCTCTGTTGTAAATGTAAAACTTGTGTGAATAAAGTTTGAATGAATGAAAGTCTGAGAGTAGAAGTTCAGCTCTGCAGCTCATCTTCAGCTGCTCTGACGTCTGATGATGATTTGTGGTTTTCGGCTGATATTTTCAGAATAAAGGTGTTGAGTGCTTCCTGTGTTTGTGTCCTCAGTGCTGGCTGCAGCCGTGTGTCTGTCTCCAGCTGCTGGTGAGTCGCAACGATTCTCTTTTTACACAACAAACAAAACAAACGTGATAAAACTGCTGAAACATCAGCCGAGAGTTTTATACTTAAAGTTTTAATCCGTGTTTAGAACCAGCTCGTTTAGATTCTGCTGAGAACGCAAACTGTTCTTTAAAAACAACTAAAGACTTTAAAACTTAAATAAAAATGAAATCTAAAATAAATGTGAAGGAAATTATAAAATGAAAAAACAAGTTTCATTTATAAATCATAAAATGTTTATAAAAATTATATTCTTTCATTCTCTGCTGTTTTTACATCATTTTGTATTAAAAATTAAATAAAAGTTTTAGTCATGACGCAGCGGCTCCACAGTCGGGTCGGGTCCGGTCGGGTCGGGTCAGATCGGGTCGGGTCAGATCGGGTCAGATCGGATCGGGTCAGGTCAGATCGGGTCAGATCAGGTCAGGTCGGGTCAGATCAGGTCAGGTCGGGTCGGGTCAGATCGGGTCAGATCGGGTCGGGTCAGATCGGGTCAGATCGGGTCAGATCAGGTCAGGTTGGGTCAGATCAGGTCAGATCGGGTCGGGTCGGGTCAGGTCAGATCGGGTCGGG